ATCTTCTGAAACAGATATCGATGACTGCGGAAGTCGTCCCTGTAAGAATAACGGCATCTGTACAGACCGACTGAACGGATTCAACTGCAGCTGTGCACCAGGCTTTAATGGAACACTATGCGAAATCGGTAACCAGAGCCAAAATCAATTATTTTTACTTCATATTGCAGGCTTTATAGTTGCTTGTGAATAGTTCTCAAATAAGGCCTTTCAATTTTGTATCTTTGAACAGATATCTGCGAATGTTGTCCCTGTATGAACAATGGGACCTGCAACTTCAGCGATGCACCAGGATTTAATGGAACACAAAACGAAACAGGTAAGAGCTGAAGATAGCATTACAAACCTTAACATCTCGGAAAAAAAGGGAAGGTTGAGAGGGTGTTGTAAAATATGGAAGCCTGTGGACACCGCAACAGATAACACCAGTAACATAAATAATTGGTTCTATAAGGTTAATACCGAATTCCGCTAGGATTATTCAGTCCCAGGGATTAAAAAGATAAGATTTGATTTCCACTCTCAAATCACTTATTCTAAAACAGTTAAGCTGTTTTCCTTTGTAGTTTATATTACATTTACAACACGTGGACGTAGTGGACGGTTTGGAACTATTCAGAAATTCACGGTTCCAAGAACCGCTCGCTACCTTATCAGAGCTTGGGGAGCCCTGGGAGGAAAACACATGTACAACTATGGATACAAGCCTGGAAATTACTGTGGCGGCAGGGGTGCGTACATTGAGGGCAAGTTCAATCTGACTAAAGGAACAGTGCTGAATATTGTGGTCGGACAGAAAGGAGGAAACTCAGTGGAGGTGAAAGGAGGGCAAACCACCAACAAGACAGCAGCTCAGTTAGGACTGTCCGTAGAGGACAATGCTGGCACGGGAGGAGGGGGAGGGAGCTTTGTTTATACTACAAGTAATGTGCTTTTATTAGCCGCCGGAGGGGGAGGGGGAGCTTCAAGTGGATATAACGGTGTGGATGGTCAAAAGGGAACAAGTGGCACCAGTAGTGTGGGGAAAGTTTTATCTCAAATTCGAAATGGAGGTATTGGGGGGCAGCCAGGTGAATGCAACACTGCACGCGCTAGATATTATTATTATCATTATCATTATTATTATTATTATTATTATATTCACCATGGGGGAGTAGGTGCGGGTTGGTATGCTCAGGGGTGTGCCAGGGCAGGGAAACAACATGGAGAGAGAGGCGGGTCACGTGGTCAAGGCTGGACTGGAGGTCGAGCCGGCAGCATGAACAGCGGGTACAACGGGGGACCAGTCCCAGGAGCAGTGGGAGGGTTTGGTGGTGGGGGAGGGGGGTCAGAAGATAATGGAGCATCAGGTGGCGGTGGAGGGTACTCTGGCGGAGGCAGTGGTACCCATTGGAGACAAGCCGGAGGGGGAGGGGGCTCGTATTGTGGTGGTCAGGGTTGTTCTGGTGTAACTGGAGGGAATTGCAATAATGTTGGACTTGTGAAAATTGTTGAGTTAGCTGCTTAGTAAAAAGACATGTCGTTTTCCTCGTCGCAAACCAGATTGGAAAACAACAGGTCTCTTGATTCCAGATTTTTAACTTTGAAGTGATTTGTGTTAAGTGGCAAGTATACTAGTAATTTTCTCTGGCCATTCAATAACTCTCCTCTCGATAGCCGAACACATTAGCGAAACTATTCCTTTTGACTTTTTGTCTTTGTCAGGCTTTTGGTTTTTAAAACTAGACTGTTTGCTATAGCTATATTTGCCCCAGCTTAGGGTCAATTCTTTTCAACAGTGGAGGCGTTCTTAAGAAAAGCTGGTTGATATTACAATACGGGTGAGAAACCAGAGTATGCTTTCTAACATTTTCGGTTCCGGTGTAGAAGACGCAGCATCCTTGGAGACCCAGGGGCTATTAGCCGGGACGAGGCGATATTGCCGGGCCTAAGTTTACTTCAAGAGCTGAAGAGCACCCTGGGAACTTATTCTATCCGAACCAGTTCCAGCAGTGGTCGAATTTCATCCTGCTGATTGGCCAGAAAAATATTTTTCTGGCCAATCAGAGAGGAGGTCCATCCGGGTAACTCTGTCGCCTTCTTACATAAACTTGGTTTTCTTAGGTTAGGTTAGCTTAGGTTCATCGATCGACCTGCTTGGCCCGTAGAGCGGGAAGATTAATATTCTCGTGGAGAGTTTTAGAAAAAAAGATTCAACAAAGCCGAGGAAATCGCAAGCCGTAACATGGGGGCTGGTTCGGTAAGGATACGTTCCCAGGGGCTTTTCAGCTCTTGAAGTAAACTTTCGCCCTAAAATATCGCTTCGTCCCGGCTAGTAGCCCCTGGGTCTCCGAGGATGAAGACGCAGCTAATGTAGAACCAAAGAGAACAAAAAGTCAAAAGAACAAGGAAAGCAACGAAGACAATAGATTTGTGGGCTGGGGGGTGTTCTTTTGAGACCTGTACTGTACCATCTACACCATGAAGGAGCCACATTTTTGGACCAACTAAAAAAGCTGCTGATAATTTTGTGTTTTTGTTGTTAAACAAAGTAAAGCGGGATGTAATTCTAGCCCATTAGTTTCTTTTTATGCAGTAATTCTAATTTGATATTGCTTGGATAAACCGGTAGATTTCATCAGTGCTAAGAGGTAGCGTTTAGGTGACAAGGAAAAAAAGTATCTAATGATTATACAACATGTATCATACTTTCATGANTGTTCTAAAAATAGAATTATTGTCCCATATCATGGGGACAACCCCAATACTAGAAATGGCGCGCGCTTACGGTCTCCGTCCCCGATTATGGCTCCTGAAGTGGTTGAATTCCGTTCCGCTGATAAGCCAGAAAAATATTTTTCTGGCCAATCAGCGAGGAGGTCCAGCCAGGTAACTCTGTCACCATGTTACACGAAGTACTACACCGAGTACTTCACGGAGTACTACACGGAGAACTACACGAGGTACTACACGAAGTACTTACACGACGTGGTTTTCTTCATCGATTTTCTGGAAAAGAGATTCAATGAAGCCGAGGAAATCGCAAGCCGTATCGTGGGGGCTAGGAAGCAAACCTCTTCCATCACTTTTCTCGGCTGATTTATCGAAGATGTATCGTAAATTTTTATAGCTAATGTACGCGATTTCTACACTGTTGTTTTTGGGTCTTTTTGGTTGCGGGGAAAGCTAGTCGACTACACAAGCTTACTTAAGCTTATTAAGCTTATTTCTCCTCCATCGTTGAACAACTTCTGAAACTTTCCACGACGTGCAAATCGCCGTTGCACGGGCCACGCAACTATGTCGACCGAACGTGGAAACGATCGGCTAATTACTGCTAATTACAGTGCAGGCACCGCCTTGCTATCGCGCCTAATCAAAATGCAACTCTGAAGTATGGATCCACAGTGTGAGGTCGATTGCTGTAGATTGTGTGGGCTTGAATCTTTTTGGATAAGCGAAGGTAACGAAATATTGTTGGGAATTCGCAAAAATTTTTGAGACAGTGGTCGGTGTGGAAATTTTGGAGGGCGACGAACGCGCAGTGTGTGACACGTGTGGGCAGAGGGTTGGAAATATATTAGAGGAGTGGGAAGGCTTAATCCAGGAGCAGCTGCGAAGAATTAAACACGCAATTTTCCCGCTGAGTTAAACTAAAGGAGACAAAGGAACTGAAAGAGTTATTTTGAGAAAGATGCCGGGCCATCGAATACCGGGGCAAATCGAATACTAGCTAAAACAGCGCTCTGACCGCCAATGAAGTGAGCTGTCAAACGTCAAGAACACTTTGCCATATCAAGCAGTTCACGTAAAGGAACTTGTGTGGAGGTAGGAACACAACAATATAACAATAATAATGACAATGATAGTGATGATGATCGGACTATTTATCCCAGGGGGGGGGGACCTCCATATTAAAAGGATGGGGCACTTGTCAGAAATTTTGAAAAGAACCCCCAAGAGGGGCCAAGGTCCTGTTTTGTAGACGTAGCTCAAATTTCTTTCACCCCTAAGAGGTGCAAATTGACTACAACGACACATTACCTTCTGTCAAATTATTTTTGGCTGAAATATACCCTGAAAGGTACCCTGAAATGATGTCTGCAGTTCAGCACCTGGTGGGCCTTTGCCTTTTTCTTGGCCGCACAAGAAAGAATTACATGTAAGGTTCATTTCCTTAAATTGTTTTCTTTTCTGTTATCATTGTGTATGCACACTTTAGCACATGTGGGTTAGTCAAGTAACTGTATGACCACATGCATTTCACACAACCAAGCTTAACTTACTTTGTCTGTGATGTTGTAGTTCAAATTAATGTTTGCCATTATTGTTTCTCTTCCTCTCTTTCCAGAATTACATCCAGTGCATACATGTGTGCTGTTGCACATGAACAAGTTTGCATGCTCTTTTCTGTGTCTATACATATTATCTCAGTCAGGGGTGGATTAACAGATTGTGTAACTGACAGACTCTTGATTGATCATGATGTGGTACGCGTATTTGCAATTCATTATAACATCAGGGCTTTTCCAGACTTGGTTTGTGTGTTGGAAAGAGAGCAGTGAACATGAAAATTAAGGAGGCTTCATGCAACTATGACAAGAAGGTGAAGACCTGGAAGGCAGCCATAGAGCAAAAGAGGCAAAATATTGTTCAGCTGTATGACTATTTGATGGAATCCACCAGAGGTTGGAGTAACAAGTGGTCAAAAACCTTGTACCAACATTATTTACATGGTATTGCAAACTCCTGTATGACTGTTTTAAATATCTTCTCCAAAAAAATCATTTGTAGCAACACCAAGCATTGAAAACAAATGTTGACCTTTGTATGAAACACTTGAAAATACTAGTGAAATGAAACTGATGATGAAATTTTACCTATGTTTGTGCAATTTACAGAACGTCGAAATTCATTTTCTCTCATTCCCATGGGAAATGAATTGTTTTCGGTGTTATTGCAGGGAACTACATGTATTTATATCTCTAGCTTTAAGAAAATGTAAAAAGGACTGTGAAATACTTAAAGTTATTCTGGTACCAGATTTTTGTCCACTAAAAACTGAAATTGTGCAATTTTCTATCAGATTTTGTCGTAATATGAAATTTAAATGAACAGCAGTTTTCTATACAGTAAGCATTTATTTCAATTACATGCACTATTGAGGTAAATCCTTTGACACCTAACAATGGTTAATGTATTAAATATTTGAGAAAAATCCTTGATATAACTTGCCTTTTGAAAAAAATACACTAGTCAGACAAAATTACGGACAAAATGAATAGCATCATGGATAAAGCACTGCTTGAGAGGTTTCATTAAGATGGTAACACCATGGGATTTTATACACAGGCACAAAATATGTAATAGCATTTTCTCTTTTCATATAAATTTAGCATGGACTCTGGGAGTGACAGGGTCAATATAAAAGTGTAATCTGTAAATATATCTTATATCTATAATGCCATTGTATTTTAGGAGTCCAGTGGTCATCCTATTGTGGAGACTTCTGAGCCCTCAGACATGGCAGGGCAAGATTCAATCCAGATGATTGTACAAGGTGCCAATGATTATCTTAATAAGAAGAATTATTAAATTAAATCATAGTTTTGAAATAATGGCGACAATGTTTCTAAGTGCTTGTTCTGGAGTAGTGATTATGATTATGATGGCATTGCCAGAGGTTTCTGTAAGACAAAATAATGCAGCTGGGTTCGTTGGCCATATTATAACCATTAGTTCTCCTTCAGCAATGATTACTTCTGAATCAGTCAATAGAACATCACAACAAAAATTAGTTCAGAATATTAATTTTATTTATTTACTTATTTTATTATTCTGACTTGTGTCAAATAAAGAATTTTTCTGACAGCATTATTACATAGTATTCAAATAATTATATTAATCATTTTTTTTTTTTTTTATGGCTATTAAAATTAATTTAGATTCTAACCGGATCCTGCAGGCAGCTCTCAGCTCTCACAGTGCCCACGGTTCTCAATCTGGAGCAGCTACATCATGTGAGGAAAAATAATAACATAAAGAAATTTCCTACTTCAAAATCACCCTTTTTTCATCTTTTTCTTTTATATTTGGAAATCGATCTATAGTCTCTAGCTATGATCTATTGCTGTTGTCATTCAGAATGAAATTCGAGTAACAATTATTTCAGGCAACCATAATAATACTACCGCGTAATGGTCATTAGTAGAATTCTACCAGTATACTAATGCAGATGCTGCAATCTGATTGGCTGAGCTACTCCTAAACTATCAGCCATTAGAATGCAGTAGCTGTCGGTCGTCCACAAAATGCGACGTTTTTATCGTTTTTCCGAAGTTTTGGGAGAAAGTTTAAATGTAAATAGATAATTATATTCCTGAGAAGACAAAAAGAAGGACATAAACGGGTTCTTGACTTTAAAAACTTGAAATTATTGAAAAACCGGTGCGCGCGTAAACAACGCAAACATCGAGTCTCTTGTTGAAATTGTGGATTAAAAGGGGACCACCTTGATTGGCAGATGAGGCCATCTATTTATTCAGCAAATAGGGACACTGAGTCTATTCACAGGTTTAAGCTGCTCTGCTACAAGAACAGGATAAATTAGCAACTGGGATATGCATGATAATGGCCCAATCAGACCAAAATTTCAAAATTAAAAATTTGTAAATAATCACATTTTATAAATATTTTACGATGTATATAGGCTTAATTATTTTATTTTAATTATTTTTAATATTGTTACGATTGTTACGATTTCTTTCTTTTTCAAATTTTAATTTTTGAGGGCCATTAGGTTATCAGTTTTATTACTGTCAAATGTTACCCTCGTAAAATAAGGTCTTACTTACTTACAACTTTCTAATCTTGGACCTACATGTACCTAATTCAAGTTTCCTTCCCTCACTTGAGGAGTATGCAAAGTTGCCTGTTGACTACATCATTTTAGTGTTAAGTATTCTGGTCCAAAACTGCGAGTATACTTCAAGTACTGTTTTCAAAGATTGTTCCAGGTCACATCCCTCACCAATTCAGCAAGGAGACGAGGAAACAATCTCAAGTTGTAAGTTGACGTTAATAATAAGGAAGATCAGGGTTGTCAGTAGGGTTTTGAGAAGCAGGTTCCATCCAAAAAGTAGGCAGCTAAGGTGTGCCTGAACTGAAAACTTGCGGCGGAGCGGCTGGTCACGATGCGCACTGCGCATGTTTATTTCGGGGAGAGTATGGGAACGGGGTCGCCCCCTCCGGAGGGAAAATTTTTGAAAAATGATTCTCTGAGATGCCATGTGAGGCTATTTTCAGCAAACATTGTACAAATTTGAAGATGGCTTTCTTAATTTGATCTTATAGTTCTGGAATGTTCCTTTATGAGATACTGATAACTGAAGACATGTATAACTGGACAGCTTACGGTCAATATGCATGTCACAACCTTTATTTTCTTTACATGCCGTGCAATTACAAACTCTGAAAAATTGAGGTGCACATGAAGAAAACTACATCTCTGGCACAGTATATCATCTTGAAAACAACTTGTCTTTTTCAAAAAGACAAGTTATTTTAAAATCAATTTCGAATCGTGTCACGCACTTTTTTTTGTCCCCTCCGATCCAATTTGGGTTCAAACAAATTAGTACCTGAACAATTTTATTTCCGTTTTATTTCTCCAATATCACGCTCAGAACTGACCTACTAACATTCGGAGTAGCCGGCGCAGTATTTGGAATAGCCAGTGAAATGTGCCGGTTGCCGGCTTATTTTGACAACCCCGACGAGTATTTAAACATTAAATATAAATAAGTTTACCTCAAGGGGCAGAGATGATCGAAGGAGTGCAACTGTACAGAATGTATAAGACAATGATTAAAACACGCAATTATAGACCTTTTAGAAACTAGCAGTAGCTATTTTCCACTCGTTTTCAAAAGGCTCCACTTTTGAAACCGTTTTCGTAAGCCTCCGTTTTCATCAGCGTTTTGGTCGTTTTAGTGCGGACAAAAGGCCAAAACGCATCCACACTACACTGGAGAAATTTGAAAGCGTAGCTTTGTTTCTGCGGTCAGGCCTACCGTCCACAATAATCCGCCACGAAAACGAAGCTTTTCGAAAACGCTCTTCAAACCGGAGGAATTTAAAAACGCCGATTTTTCGTTTTCGTATGGACGGTAAACATTTTGAAAACGGAGCTTTTCGAAAACGATGGCGTCACAATAATCATGTTGTTTCAGTCCCTGACCGGGTTTTCCTCAAACACAAACCCTAAATGACCGGTGACTGTTGCGTTTTCAAATTCCTCCGAATTAGTGTGAACGGGGCCTTTTAATACTGCCTACTGGATTTAATGAATTTACTGTACGCTGGGAAACCATCAAAACTGTCTCAAAATAAGGTTAAAGCGCCATATAAAAATTAATTAGCACAATATATGTGGGTCTAATTTTGTTGTTGTTGTTGTTGCTTCTATGTTACAAATGCGAATTTGTCTGCCATGACATGGTCTGGACTTTGCCAATGGAAACGAACCAGGTCTCTTAGTTTATAGGATGATCTTTAATTCATTTTCAGACAAAAAAAGATCTTTACTAAGCTAAGATGACACTAAAAAATGACACCAAAAATCGGTTCAGAGGATCAATGTAAACCTGACACGCAGAATAAAATAAAATTGGTAGAAATACAGTGAGTATGTGAAAGTAAAAAAGAATACACAAGATAAATACGACAGCATAATCGTGTGGATGTATTAGTTATATGAACGAAAATAATTACGGTAAAAAAATGTCGAGTTTGCTCTTTGATATTCTTCAAAAGTAGAAATACTGAATTTCTAAATTATCTGTTAAATTGTGTTGAGGTAAGCACATATGAAAGTGTAGCAAATAAAACGAATAAAACAAGTAATTATTTGTTTTCCAATACAAAACAAATGACATCACTGACTTCTTCAAAGGTGTAGTCGTAGATGTTATTTAAAAATGCTGGCGGATTGTAAAACGTTTGAGGATAAAATGAAACGCAAAAGAAAAAACAGACGCTAAAAAGTGCTCTCCAGATAGACTGTCCAAATTTACGCCCCAGGGGGGTCTACGAAATGAGCCTCAAATGTGCTCGCGGTTCTTTCCTCGATGTGATTTGGGCGATTCAGTCTTGTGATGTGAGCTCGCTTGACTGACTTGCTCACTGCTTCGCCGTTTACCAAAGTTCTTTCTCCGCCATTCGGCAAAACGACTTGTCCTGTGTTCACCGTTTAGAATATCACTTCCTTTGCTTCCACTTCCGTTCAATTGAGTCCCTCTCTTTTCACTTCCGTCCAGTTCACCTCCTGCGCGATATCCATGAAGTTTGTCCTTGAAGAGCTGGATAGTCGGTCTGCTTTTTTTCCGCAGACTGCTCTGACTTCCGTTCGCAGTGACTTCCGGGAAGGGCTGAGGGGGTGGTACGTCAGGTCCACTTAAAGATAAATGCGGGCTCAAAGTGTGCTCGCTGTTTTTCATTGATGGGTTTAGAGCTGGACATGCGCATGCGCCTTGGCATCCATTCTTACAGTAGGCGGTCAGCGGTTCTGTTTCACTTTCACTACCCGTCGAGCTTTCATTTTCTTCCTGCTAAGAAAAAATTATGAAGAACTGAAATAATTATGCGCACCTAACGATACCTAAAATAGTTATGATAACTCAACGTAAACCAAATGAGAATCGTGAAAGGTAAATTGGTCAACATGACGCAAACGTGGGACAAAGAAAAAATCTGAGTCCAAGACAGGAATCGAAACCATGACCTCCCGAACACCGGGCGGGCGCTCTATCCACTGAGCTACGTGAACACATGGAGCTTCATGGAGAGCAAGGTTATTTAAGTGAGTTCATGTTGTTTCATTACCGAGTTTAAAATTCACCATCTTTATTCACTTATCACTACTCACGATGACTTCGACAGTGCTGATCCTAGCAGTACGCAAGGCGCCTGTCACATATGAACTCAGTTAAATGACTTTGCTCTCCATGAGTTCTCGTAGCTCAGTGGATACAGCGCCCGTCTGGTGTTCGGGAGGTCGTGGGCTCGATTCCTGTCTGGGACTCAGGTTTTTTCTTTGTCCCACCCACGCTCTTGTCATGTTGATCAATTCACCTTTCACATCTCATTACCGAGCTTAAAATTTCAACATCTTTATTCACTTATCAAATGAGAATTGTGCCAAAAAGAATGTGATCAAGATGCCCTTTTCTCCTGCATCGTTTTTTGTTACCACAGATTTCAGGAAACATTCGTAGCAAATTTGGGAGAACTTGAATGAGTTCTTGTCTCCACGGTTTTCCTTTTCACGTTTTCTATTCATTTTAAGCGCGCGCAGAGAAGAAAACAAATGTTTCGGCTAGCTGGACCAGGAAATTATGCTGTGAATATTTTCAAGTTTGGCTGCGCATGAAAGCTAAATTTTCGCAGTACGGTATGATTCTTGTTTTGTTTGTTTATTTAAGGTTTTTTGTTTTTTTGTTTTTGCTTGTTTGTTTTTTGCAAGTTTTGCTTTTGATATTTTATCTTACGCTATTCAAATAGCGCATTGCCAATTGCCTTGTATAGCCTTGCCTTGCCTGCCCTAATTTGGAACAAGGTCGTCAGGATAATCTAGATGCTTATTTGATGCCAGTTTATGTTATTCTATCGAATATACAACGGAGATCTATTTATATTCCTCGCTAACTGAACACCTTTCGTAGGGATTTGTTAACCTACCTTTACTACTTCGATCTGCGGGTCGACTTGCGCAGGCGTAGAGATTTTTTCTTCCTCAGGTTTTGGATGTTTCCGCTGTCCACCTATGCTCAACATTAAATGCACAACTAATAACAAACCAAGTATACCAGCTGTGGATGCTAACAGCCACGGCTCTGATTCACCAAATAAAAAGGACAACATGTTGGTTTTCACATGTTGATTTCCGCATGCGCTGTGCTTCGAATTTTTCAATCTTCGTCATAACTGATAATTATGACGACACGACCATTGTGCGACATGAACGCAGTGGACTGGTGGCGAGTTTTTTCCTTGTCATGGGACTTTACGTTGTGGATAGACTAATGGGAAAAATAAAAACCAAAACAGGAAGATGATATTAAACTACGGAGATTTAGTGTTTGTATCAAGATATATTCCACGAGCGCGCGTTGGATATGATGGTAAATAGTCCGAGACGCATAGCGCCAGCTTGGCTATAATCATCTTATATCCAACAAGCGCGAGTGGAATACTTTTTTATTTTTTATCAAAAACGACCCCAAAATACAGAAAACTACACTAAAATAAAAATAAAGCCCCTAAAAATTACCCGTACGCTTACCATATTTATAGAGTTTGGTGTAATGGCTAATTTACAGTCAACTCTCGCCTTGCGGACACCCCGCTATTACGGACGCTCGCTATATTTACGGACAAAATCCAGATCCCTGGCGAAAGCTAGAGGTTTGATTGCAAATGACTCCCGCTATTACGGAATTACGGAAACTTTCGAGGTACCAAAATGACACTTTTATTGTTTTGACTCTCGATAAAGCGGACACCACGTACTTCTCATATAAAAAAATTACAGTCTGTTTATCATTTGTTAAATACACTTCAGAAGACTTCTGGAATGTTTATTTTCAAACCAAGTGGTCTAGTTAACTGGGATATACTACACTGTTCACAGCCTCTCAATTTACAGACGCGAAAGAAAAAGTGAGCGAAGCGAGCGCGAAACACGCGGGGGTGGGGGTGGGGGGGTGGGGTTTTGCCTTCCCTACCCACCTCCCTACCCTGTCAAGTCTTCCGTTTTGTGCTGGCGTCCAGTTCTCTCGCGATTCTATCCGCGCGTTCAACGATGGAATAAAAATACGAGAAAATAGAGAGCTGTGAACAGTTAGGACATACTACTGAAAGTAACTGTTTAAAATAGGGCGGTGATTGGTGTACCTGAGGGGGAGGGGGAGTGGAGCGGTGCAGATGGAAAGTCGATGTTTATCACCTTCTTAAATAAAATCCACACTTTCGCTTGGAATGCCCAGAGGGCATTGAAAAGATTGGAGGGACGCTTAACATCCGTTTGAGGTGAAACGAAAAGCTAAATGTCTCTCGCGAGAGAGAATAGTTTTTTTTTCTTTCACACTATGAAGAACAAGATACAAAACATAGCTTTGAAACAGTATTGAACTTAAACTGTACATTTAAAATTTCTTTGATAATAGTAACTTATATTTTACGAGCTTTGCCGTCAATACTTCACATTTTTTGGTTTTCGTTGTCTTGTTGTTTTCTTTCATTGCTTGACTAGTCAAAACCCAAAACCCAGGAAACGGAGAACTTAAAAGCAACCGCTGTAAAAAAAAATCCAACTAGTTGTTGTAAACGTTAGCAAGTGTCAATTAACGAGCAGTCCTGAGCATTCAAACAGAAGTCCATTATTCACAACAAAAGATGGCAAACCCTAGTGACATCTTCAGCAAGCTGAATAATCCTTCGCGTCCTCAAAGTAATGTCTTTGATTTGTTGTTGGAGTCAGTATCCATACTCATTCTCAGTAAATGGAAAACAGGTAGATTCTACACGGGTGTCCAGGTTTGGGCACGACTATCTCCAGCTGTCAAAGCTGCCTTCAACATTGTTACGAACACTTCCGGTTTAGGTTACTTCCGGTTACGTCATACGGCATGTGAGGAAATTACGATGTATGAACGTTTCCAAATTAACACAACGGTAGCAATGTAACGTAGTTCAAAGAAGTCTCTGAAGGAGCGTGTGATAATCCTTTTGATGACGGTCCGTTCATTTTTGATCGATCTTTCAGGACGTTAGAAAGTGATCAAGTCAACTAGATTTCCTTTGGGCTGTGTCATGTGTTCGGGAAAGAAGGACACCAGCGTATCGAACAACTGCAACAAGAAACATATGGCAATAAAATAAATAAATAAGCAAATAAACAAACAAACAAATAAATCAAATATTTAGACAGGAAGCCACATCAGGCTTAGCTGGTTTTTAGGCGCGTCCTCTATCCTGGTCGAATGTTGGTTTTTGTGGAGGAAGGAAAACCGGAGAACCCAGAGAAAAACCCTCGGAGCAAGGCGAGAACCAATAACAAACTCAACTCACATATGACACCGGGCCGGCATCGAACCCGGGATGCATGGATGGCAAAATGACGAAAAATGACGTTTGACAAAAGACAAATTGACGAAGAATTCTTCAACTTCAACGATTTAGCGAAAGCAGTGTGGAGTAATTCATTAATCGCATGATCAACTTCTGTGGAAGTTAAAATCTACGGTTGTCGCCTACCGATTGTTGTTTTTTTTTCCTACTCAAATTTAAGAGACACTGCAACAGTTACTGGTAAAAAGGAAGGCGTGACCCCAGCGTGGTTTGCAGCTGATCTCTGCAGCATAAAGTTGATATCTCACCTGTGTTCTTCCAGTGAAACCGTTACGCAAGGGCGGCGACAGAGATTCTAAAGATTAACAAAGAATTTTAGTGTATTTACAGGTTAACGCACTCAGCGAGAGAATTATCGAGATTTTCCTGCACGAGTTCACTAACAGTCAACGAGAAATTTCAATACCGCACGAGGCTTTGCCGAGTGCGGTGTTGAAAATTTCGAGTTCATTGTTAGTGAACGAGTACTGGTAAATCCCGATAATTCACGAGCAATGAGTACGTTAACATTTTTATTATTCAAATTGAATACACTACACAAAGAAACACTGCATTAAAACCACTATATTTTAGTCAGCCGAAGCCATGGTGTAATGACAGTAGTGTGTTGAATTTACACCACGGCTATTACACCACGATAATGACGTCAAAGTGGTTGTCTCGTCGCAACCCAGTATCACGTGGTACAAATCAGCCAATCAGAAAATTGGAATTCGTACAGTGTATGAAAGTTGAGTAATAACAGGAATTAACCAATAATTATATTGACTAGATTACAATTATCATTGATGGCTGGATTTGTTACAAGATGATAACAACTAACCTGCATCAGTCACCATTCGTTCTTGTGAGGAGATGGAATGTGAAAAGAGGCTGGATGCAATCAGGCGAAACTGAAAAACAAAATCTCAATTAGAAAATCGCTCACTTGCGAACTCAGCCGACCTTTCGCCATTTTGCACATCACCAACCTCATAATGTATTTTATTAGCGATCAAAACAAATACGGGAAAAAGTGGCCACGACTCTGTCGCATTTTGCTGTGCCATTGAAAGACAACTTTGCCCCTAACGTTCCTTAGTGCAACGAAAAAAGAGAAAAGTAGATCACTTTGTTACTCAGTGCTTTAAATAAGATTTGAAATGGGTGGATTTCATGGTCAGACACGAATAGCGCCCGGGTCAAACATCGAACCTCACATGAGACGAACTTAAAGGAGGTCAGTCACGGTTTGCGCATATTGAAAAGTTTAGCCTCAATTTTCCAAATTTGTCGTTTGTAATCCGTGTTAATCTTCTCCATCCTTAGCCATCCTTGTTCCTTTATGGTTTATCATTATGTCTTTGGTGTTCTTCTATTTTATTAAACTGTTATTTTTAGGTTTCCTACCATTTAAAGGTAATTTTGTATGTGGCCAGAATAACTCAAAATACCGTGACTGAGCNACACACACACACACAGACGGTTAGACACAGACAGACACACGGAGACAGAGAGACAGGCTGTCGGGCAGACAGACAAACAGTCAGACAGACACTTCCTATACCTTTGTTTACGAATTAAATATCGGCATCTGCGCAGTAACTGTTCTCTGGAAGGTCTTGACAGCTGAAACGTGAAATGAAGACAATAAATTCCTCTTTACTATATAAAGTGCACAGGTTTGCTGATTTACCACCAGACTCTCAAACCTCACATCCAAGATATGTATGGCGTTCAGTAGTGAGAGTTAATATTTCGATCACTGGGTACCTTGAGTGACCAGAAGTCATCCAGTCTCATCTTAGGTATGCTAGCTTTTCCAGGGTTCCCACCAAACAGGTAGTGCACCTTATGGATGTCATCATACACTAGCTGATGAGCAAACCGAGGACATGGCTCTACATTCTGCATCTTAGTCCAGTACTGCTGACCTATGTTCTCATTCTTGTACACACACGACCTGAAAAGTGGCAACATCACAAAATAGCTTTGATTGTCACGCGTTACAGTCTCTAGCCTGTTCCAGGCTCTCGGTCAGCGGGGACGATCCAAAAAGCGAGTGGGCGACGAGCGGGATCAGCGACGAGCGGGATCCTGGACTTCTCTTTTATTTATACCAGACCCCCCTGGTCGCCCGCCTGCTTTTTCGATCCTCCCCACTGACCAAGAGCCTGAAACAGGCTATACACTCTCCAGTCCTTAGCAGGTATTTGAGTCGTCATGCAACGTCTTTCATCACTACAAAGAGTTGCAGTGTGTCTCCTCTCGTTCAGCACAAAATGGCCCGCCGCCGGTTTAGTCCAAGCGAACCAGAAACACGCGATGTGAACAAACCCTTAACTAACACTGCAAGAGAGTGCTTTAAAATCATCAACATTTCAGAGAAAGCAAATCTGAAGTGATGGTTTGTTTCAAATGAAAACTTGAGATGTTGCCCAAGATTGGATCTTCACTTGTGAACTTCAAGTAATACATTGCATTCATAAATTACTGGACGGTCACCGTGATAAGCTATAGATACTATGATATGTACATGTATCATGGTCAAGGTTATTGACTTACAGCGGTTCAGGTATCACCACTAAAAATACCTACCATGTTTTACGCTCTATATCGTACACCCAGAAGGAGTTTCTCGCTGTCTCTTCTCGTTTCTCTTTATCCTTACTCAAACCCTGTAGAAACAACTATAACCATCAGCTATGTCACTGTTTGTGCATCTTGAAAAGTTTAACCAAAATTTTTTCATGTTCGCCGATTGTAATCCGTGTCAATCTTCCCCATCCTTAACCATCCTTGTTCCTCTCTGGTTTATCATTATCTTTTTGGTAATTTTCTATCTTTTAATTAGTTAACTACCATTTTCAGGTTTCTTCAATTTCTCTCAATTTGAAGATAAATTTGTACGCGGCCAAAATAAGTCAAAATACCGTGACTGAGCTCCTTTTAACTTTGAACTACACTAAAATGTCTGCTACATGCCATCAATTTGAAAGAAACTTTTTTAATTCATATTTTTATGTAAGGGACAACTTACAGATAAGACACGGATTTCATTCAGTTCCGGATCAATTGTTGCTCTCTGAGTAAAACCTGCAGCAGGAACTGTCAGAAAAGAAATATTTTTTAGGGACTTTGCCAGAGCTACAAAGGTACATGCACTATGTTTTTACAACAAATGATATTGCCATTACCTTGATCACAGTCCTTTTTGCTTCCATCATTTATAAATGATATTTCATGAGTGTCCACATTGTATGTGATAAAGTCACTAAAGAATGAAAGAAGTTGGTAAAGTTTAGAATATATTACCGGTGTGAAGAATTATTTTGCAAACTCACATTTACTCCTGATCAAAAGGTGATTTCCAATGTGCGACCATGGATGAAATGATTAGAAATACGTTTACATCTGTCAAGGTTTCTCAAGAGAAAAGATTGGAAAATAATAAATTAGTAGTACCTTAAAAACTCAGTTCCTCTTTGACCAGCAAAGATATATAGAAGCCTTTTTTCCTGCAGATATGGATATAAAAAATGGCATCAATGTTACTCTTACAGAACAGACTACAATTTCATATTTTGGAGAGCACCACATCTGTCACTTACGGGATGAAACAGCATAGAATGTCCTATTCTTGATCGCAGATCAGGGCAATCATCTCTGCAAAAATAAAGCATTCATTTCTAAGCGTAAAGCAAGCTACAAACAGAAAAGACAGCAAATACAAAATCTTAATACCATTGATGTTACCAAGATGGCCAAGAGTGGAAATGACTGGAAGTCAAACCTCCACTAACAGCCACCTCCCTTCAACCGCCACTTTTTTCCGTCCCGGCAGACCGTTCTTACATTCACTCCTATTTTAACCTGTCTACAACGGCCACCTCTCCACTAAAGCGTGTCCCAAACTAACAAAATAACCTCTCCACAATGGCCAGTTAATCAACGATTGAAGAATGGAGTTTACTAGAACCCGTGTTATAGTGTAAAAGGTCACGAAACTTGATCCTCACCGCGCCTCGTTGGTCTGTTTTATTCATTTATTTTGAGTGTGTTAGGGCGTCTGTTTGGTATTTCTTTGCCACAGTCAGCATCTTTTAAATAAAAAAAATGTTGTACCTCCCCCTCCCCCCCAAAAAACAGGTGTCATATTACACCCCTGCCTCCTCATAACGGCCACCTCTCTATAACGTCCACTTTCATCTGTCACCAAGGTGGCATTGTAGAGAGGNTTGGGGAATAGAACAAATATTTGTAACTTGAACTTGATAGATACACCCTTCAAACATAAACTACTACAGTTCACAGTATATCATAAACCATTTGATGGTCAATATCATGTATTCGGGGCAGGGTTTTCACAAAGTTCTAAGGTACATGTAGGCAGCTTTATTGATGGAGCAGGCAGCTGATTTTGCCATCTTTTTTAACAAATCAGAGGAATTGCCTTGCCGAACAACTGACCAAGATCTCACAGAAGAGGGTGGTTTTTGCCAGCTCTGGCTACTCAGTTTGATAAACTCTTAGTCTTAGCGTGTTGAATGGAATAGCAATCTCACTCCCAGATGATGCAATCCTTTTGGTTCACGCCAAGTAATCAAGACCACTGGGCGAAATCAGAAGGTGAGCCATCACTAGTCATATAATTATAATATATGTACAGGGTTATCAAACTACACTACAACATACACTGTATGACATGCATGGTACCTTAAGTGGTGTTGAGTTTCTCATTTCAGAGTCTAAGTATCTGCCCAAAGTATATATCAACTTCCTTTTACCATCCAGACACATTTTATGACAGGATCTTGCACACGGTCCCCTCTCCTGCTCAGTATCATGCGACAGGCACGTCCATTGAGCAGACTCAACACTGAATGACCAGAAGTCAGCCAGGTCGACCATTCCATCCCAGCCACCCAGCAAGTAGATAACTTGAGCTTCCATGTCAATTGACATCTGATGCCCACCCCTCATGCCAGGACGTGAACAACTGCTGTCTTCACCTGAGATCAGAACAGCACATCA